AAAAATTAAAGATTCTTTATACTGCATGTTGTTTGACTATTTACATGCAAGTATTGTGAGTCTTTTTGATAACTACATTAGAACGTGCAAGTGTGCTGTTGCTAACTAGCACTGTAAAGATCTGAATGAATGTGCTGTTAATGGAATCAAGTTATATATAATTATCGTTGTGATGAGTGGGGTAGGATCATGGAAGGGAGGCTGGGCTTGGCTCCCATGGCTCTCAGCCCCGCCCCACTTGTCATAAAAATTGTAAGCTCTACTAGCTTAAAAAAATTGAGTTTGTTTACTCAAATATTTTGAGGCAATAAGTTTCCACAAATGTTTTGAGTATTCTTAACTTATCAGGTATTACAGTGTAGGTGTGGCTGACTCTTAACTTTTATAAAGAATATCTCTTTGGATTTGATACTTTAGTCTTTGCAACTTTACAGATCTTCTTTATGCACCAAGAGCTTGTAACACTCCAACGAGAAAGGAAAAATTTAAATCGTATCATATTACCCCTTTAATAAAATTATATATATTTTTTTGTAATGTAAAATAAAACTATATAAGTTACATATACAAAATATTATATTATTGTATAATTACCATAGAACATAGCCTAATGAGTCAGTTTACATCACCTTCATAAATTGAATAACAGAAAAAGCAAAAAGTCAATGATGCACATTCTTTATTCATCATTTTGTATATGTAGAGTTAAAAAAAATTGTTGAATTATACATAGAAAAGATAAATCGCCATCTTGTTCCGACCAAAGTGACTTGAACATACCTGACGTCGTTATTAGGTGACAGTGATTTCACCAAGTACAACATGTTCCTGGATCAACATCCTTGTTGATCCTGGAACAACATTCCTATCAACCAATCAGAATTGAGGGATAACTTTTCAGTAAATGTCTGTTTTAGGCTTACAATCAGGGTTAGGTGCTTCGACACCCTTGTTAATCAACTATCATTGCACACTGTTTTTAGGAATAAATTATGGGTAGGGTTAGGTTTAGGGTTAGGGATTGGGTTAAGTCTATATTTTTGGGCAGTTATGCTGATCCAGGATCAACAAAAGATGTTAATCCAGGAACATGTCTTACTTGGCAAAATCACGGCGACCTCGTTATTACGACTTGTCAAGTCGTAAGTAGGAACATCCCAGGAGGACTTGAACGCATTGGCTGGCTCTTTTGGCTGCGTCCATTGCATCCGACACATTTTCTCACTGACACGCCCCCAACTCGGAAACTCTGGTCTTAAAGAAAATTTCGATTTTCCCACTCGTAAAAACGACTTTGTGGTGGCGTTCATGTGTGTTCAACTCGTAAATACGATCTATCCGACATGACTTGAACGCACTTTAAGCACACGTCAATGTCCTGTAAATGCACACACAAACCGTTAGTGTCCCTGGAAAGTGTTTTACTTGGTTAAATTCCCATCAAATGTTGAGTTGCTGCTTTGATTTTGTAATTTTGGAGAGTACAGAGAAAAATACTAAGCATGTTTTGCAACACAGAGAATATAAACTCGACATAAAAAAACAACTACCTCAAATTTACTTAGATTTGCATTTCATGTATCAACACTTGCAAGGAAAAGATCAGCTAAAATGATCATTCTGTCATCATTTACTCACCTTCATTCAAACCCGTATGATTTTCTTTCTTACGAGGTGCACGAGACAAATTTAACTAGAAATATTTTCAAACAACTTGACTTTTGAAGTTGTAGTAATTTGCATGAGGAAAGAAAGAATCAGTGTTTATCCATATTATCGTTCAAGATGATAAAGCAAAAGTAAATGATGTAAATAACACACTTTAGAAAAACACTGACTGATCGGGTCAAATGCATGTGCCCTTTGAAACAGCTTTGCTTGATAGTTTACATTTTTTATTACCTTTCATGAGGTTTTAAAGACAAATATACTGTAAAGCAAATTCCTTTAAATTAATACTTCATCAAAAAATGAACCTAGTGTAGTATTCCATCACTTGCTCACCAATGGATGCCGTCAGAATGAGAGTCCAAACAGCTGATAAAAACATCACAATAATCCACAGCACTCCAGTCCATCAGTTAACATCTGGAGAAGACAAAAGCTGAAACAAATCCATCAAGACATTTTTAGTCCATAATCCATACTAACGTTTCCTCCAGTGAAAAAGTCCATCTCCTGTTGTCTCTCACATCAAAATCCAGCCACATATTTGTTTAGAGCTGTTTTGGACTGTTTTAAACGCTGCTTGATCTGTGCAGATTTCTCTCCTGATTCAGACCAGACCACTTTTTCACTGGAGGAAGTGTTAATCGCATCCAAAATAAAAGTTTTTGTTTACTTAATATATGTGTGTGTGCTGTGTATATTTATGTATATATAAATACACACACATGCATGTATATATTTCAGAAAAATATGTTATGTTTATATATTAAATATATTCATTTATTATATAAATTATATGAATATAAATATATACTGTATGTGTGTGTATTATATACATAATAAATATACACAGAACACAGACATATATTATGCAAACAAAAACTTTTTTGTATGCGATTAATCACGATTAATCGTTTGACAGCACTAGTTTATTATGGATTATGGTATTTTAATTAAAAATGCCTTAATGCTGGATTTGTTTCAGCTTTTGTCTTCTCCAGGTGTTAACGGATGGACTGGAGTGCTGTGGATTACTTGTGGATTATTGTGATGTTTTTATCAGCTGATTGGACACCATCAAAAACTCCTTTCAAATGGCATTTCTTGGACCTCTTGGGAAATCTTAATGCATTTTTTATTTTTATATTTAATGGGTTCACAGAAATCATTTAATTCTTTATTGTAAAGACTCTTCTCATGCTACTGCATGCTTTCTCACGTGTGCACAATGCACATTTCTCAAAATGAAGTCTAATACAGTCAGGTCCATATATATTTGGACACAGGCACAGTTTTTATTACTTCAGATGTTGACCTAAACATATTCTAGTTACAGTTATATAATGAATATTGGTTTAAAGTGCACACTGAGCTGTAATTTAAGCGGATTCTCATCAAAATCGGTGGAACGGTTGAGGAATTACAGCTCTTTTATATATGCACATCCCCCTTTTTCAAGGGTTCATAAGTAATTGGACAGTTGACTCAAAAGCTGTTTGATGGACAGTTGTGGGCTATTCTTTCATTTTTCTACATCAATTAAGCAGGTAAAATGTCTGAAGTTGATTCTAAGTGTGCCATTTGTATTTGGAAGCTGTTGCTCTGAAACCACATCATGCAGTCAAAGAAGCTCTGCATGCAAGTAAAACAGACAATTGTTAGGTTTCGAAAACAAGAAATCATTCAGAAAGATAGCAGAAACATTAGGAGCGGCCAAATCAACAGTTTGGAACATTGAGAAAAAAAAAAAGGAACGCACTGGTGAGCTCAGCAACATAAAAAGGCCTGGACATTCACAGAGGCCAATAGTGGTAGATGATTGGAGAATCCTCTCCATGGTAAAGAAAAACCCTTTCACAACATCCAGCTAAGAGAAGAACACTCCAGGAGACAGACGCGTCACTGTCAAAGTCTACAATCAAGAGAAGACCTCACCAGAGCAAATACACAGGGTTCACCACAAGGTGCAAACAAGGCCAGATTAGACTTTGCCAAAAAACATTGAAAAAAGCCAGACCTCTTCTGGAAAAGCATTCTTTGGACCGCTGAAATTAAGAATGACAGGAAGAAAAATGTATGGAGAAAGCCTGGAACAACTCATGATCGGAAGCATACAACATCATCTGTGAAACATGGTGGAGCAGTGTGATGGCATGAGCATGCATGGCTTCCAGTGGCACTGGGTTACTGGTGTTTAGTGATGAAGTCACAGAAGCAGCCAGAATAATTCTGAAGTGTACAGGGATATACTCTCTCCCCAGATTCAGGCAAATGGAGCAAAGTTGATTGGGCAGCGCTTCATAGTACAAATGGACATACAAAACATACAGCTAAAGCAACCCAAGAGTTTTTGAAGGTAAAAAAAAAAAAAAGGGGAATATTCTGCAATGGAAAAGAAATACCAACCCGATTGAGCAGCATTTCACTCGCTGAAGACAAAACTAAAGATCCACAAACAAACAAATAGCTGAAGTCAGCTGCAGTAAAGGCCTGGCAAAGCATCACAAAGAAGAAACCCAGTCTCTGCTGATGTCCATGAGTTCCAGACTTAAGGCAGTCACTGCCTGCAAAGGATTCTCAAGAAAATATTAAAAATGAACATTATGATTAGATGCGTGTCCAATTACATTTGAGCCCCTGAAAATGGGGGGGGACTGTGTATAAAAATGGCTGTAATTCCTAAGCATTTTGTGTTATATTTTTGTTCAACCCCTTGAATTAAAGCTTAAAGTCTGCACTTCAATTTCATCTCGCTTTATTTTAAAATTCTATTCTGGTGGCATACAGAGCCAGAATTATGAATATCATGTCAGTGTCCATATATATAGACCTGAATGTATGCATTTTAATATCACGTTTGATGAGGATTGTATGATCTTTGAATATCAGTTTTCAAATGCAAAATATTTAAAGTGTACCTGAAGTATACTTGCAATAGTTCCACTTTAGCACAAATATAGTTCAGTATATCTTTAGTTGGACTTCAGCACAATTAAAGTGCATTAAGTACAAAGCTAGTTGTTCCAATTTAGCAGACTTTAAGTACGCCAGTTTAATATACTAAAAATACAATTGCAGGGTATTTTATTAAGTACATAACTAAACCCGGAAGCGCATATGCTTACTTGCCGGCAACCCGCCAAAATAAAAGCTTACTGATTTTAAGTTTGAAGATGAAAAATTAAAATAATTCAAATTATATATATTATATTATATATTATATATATATATATAATAATAATAATAATAATAATAATAATAAGCAAAGAAATATTCAATTAATGATTTCAATCAGGTCAACGAAGCACATTAAAATCAGACAAACTGTGTCATTTCAAGTTAAATTACTATTTTAATAGATTGGGACATAATTCATGGGAGTTCAGGATGGTGAAATGCATGAACTGATAAGACACAATAAGTGAGATGTACAGTCGGCCTCTGCTCTGTGTTGAGGTCCTGATCACATCTCAGGCTTTGTGTGACTGGCTTTTATAGGACATGGTTAACGTGAGCTCATAACAGTATGCTGATCAATTATGATCCAGCTGATCTTCTTACTGTCGGCCTCTAACAACTGAAAGAAAAGCCAGAGTCAGGTAAGCCAGCACTAACATCACAGATCTTCCAAACAGCGGTGATTCCAAGTGTTTGATTATGTTCACATCACCTTAATCACAGCAGTACATGCGCACATCATTGAGAGCGGTGTCGTCTCCTCCTCCCTGTGACTCTTCTACCCGTGTCTGGATACCACAAATCCCTTTTCCTTCACATGTATTACTCCAGTAGTCCCATTCACCCCAGCTTGTGCCTTCACCCACTAAAGAAGGCCCATGACTGCATTGGACCCTGGAAGATTGGGTGCAACAACAACATAATAAAAATGTGGTTTCAATCAATATTAACGAAACAAGGCAAAACAAGAGAGAAAAGGGCATTACATGCACATTTAAACCATAACACTTATACAGTACCTCAGCAAACATATTACTCCTGTATTAATATTTTTAGTCACAAATGCAACCATTTTAGTCACAGTCTGGAGCCCTGCAATCAGTTTCAGTAAGATTTGGTGATGATAGTTAAGCATAATGAGTGATTTACAAGCAACTTGCAAAAGACCAGTCATTTAGAGCACCAAATTAGATTAAAAGGACTTTTAGCACAGCACAATCTCACAAGACGTTGTTTGCGGCCGTATCGTCACCATCTCCTTGAGGCCTTTCGACTTTCAGTTTAAAAGCAGTCAACAATCCAGGACGACACCATTTGATAACTGTCCACACACCCCAGCTGAAGAAAAACAACAACAGGCTTTGATCAAACCAATCATTATTTAAGAATTTATTTGTCTAGCTTATGAAAAGAAAATCTTTAGCCCATTACCGGCCTACACTTGACTGAACTGAGGCGTAGTCACGAATAGAGTTTGAGACTTTAGACGCATCAATGCAGAATAGGCGAATCCCATTGAGTGCAGTGTCATCCCCTAGAGTACGATATTCCACCTTAACACAACAACAACAACACTAAAGACATACAGTATTAGAAAGAGAAATGGAGTAATCTTAACACCAACCTCTAGTGTTCCTGGAGGTCCACCAACATCACACATTTTGGATGTCTACTAAAGATGTGTTCAGTTGAATCAAACATTTACTGTTGGTGTATCTTCAGAAACAGGGCTGGGAATCCCTGGACTAACCCAATCCATAGTAACATTCAACTTGGTTTCTTTAGTATGAATCAAAGCAGTCAAACTTGAGCAGGTGCAGTTTCCTTAGAAATACCTGGAACTGAATCACTAAACGCAACTCCAGAGTTGATTTTTTTCAAAGGGTTTGAACTTTCAACCCTCAGTCACCAGCTTACACTTTCAAGCATTAAACAAACCCCATACTACTGCAATTAAGTCAATTCTTAGCTTACCTTTAGACTGAATCCTACAGCATACGTTCCAGTTGGACACATTTCCCTCGGACCCCACGACCCCCATCTCCCTCCATTCGGCACAGTCAGCTCTGATCTGTAACTTCTGTCGATGCTTCGCTCAGAACGTGTTCCTGTGGACTCACTCACCTGCAGTCCAGTAATGACTAGCAGTGAAAACAACATGGAAATGAACTGATGCATTGCTGCAGCACTAGCCTGATGGATCAAAACACTGATGAAATTAATTCGGTTTGGTTTGTAAAGTAAAACTGAACCAGAGCCAGTAAAATTACTCAAAGGAACAGTTTCTTCAAATCCAAAACAAGAAACCTTTCTCAACTGCCTGTGGTCTGTTAGCAGAAATAATGTTTCATTAACAAGTTCCGGGAGGAGCACGATCAGATAATCAATCAATTCGGCACAGGTGGAGCTCGTTAGTTAATCACCTTAACTAGCACAATACGTAGCCTACATATATACAGCCAACTTACCTCTGTCCCACGACAGTTTTCCAGCATCCCTCCTCCACCCCAACTCCTCACTCTTATTCTATTTCTCATCCCATTTTAGGGATAGGGGGAGTTCTCTGAGCTCGGAGCCCTCCCTCTGGACAGCACGCCAAATTGCTCAGTCCAGTTATATGTTAGTGTGAACTCGTGAATCTGCCTGACTCTTTCACAGCTGCTTCAGAATGCATTTATACAGTTTATCAATACGGTGATATCTGGTTCTAGCCAATCAGCAGCCAGGAGCACAGATGAACACATCAACAACCTGTATGTAAATGAACACACAAAAACACAAACACTGATCCAGCAAAATACCTGTATGCCTATCTTGAGTCTAGAGTCCCCACACTTGTAAATAACATATCTGTACATTCATTTAAACAATTACAATTCACAGAGTGCAGCCTGCGATAGGGCTGCCAACCGTTCCGTATTATATAGAATTGTCCTGTATTTAAGGGATCAAAGAAGCGTCCCGTACGAAAGCTATACGGAACGCAGTTTGTCCCATATTCGCAGGCATATGCCGTATGACCACCAGACCATATGAATAACAAATTCTCAGTTGATAATTAATCATTCTTTTTGCAAAAATCATAGTTTTATTTGTGAATGTAGACATTTGAGAAAGGCTTTAAGAGTAAGCAACATCCTCTTCCGGCTGCTCCTGTTTCATAGGCTATATTATTGCAATAAAATCTGATAAATAAAATTGAAATAAAATTTCATGCCTTTTGTATGCATGTCATTTCACATTTTCACCTCCTAAATTAGTACACTACTTGTGCAGTCACAATTCTATAATGGTAGTCTACAATTTACTCAGGCCAATGCCATTTTTTGTATGACATTATTTTTTAAATTATTGTACATAAATAGGTTAAATAAAACAAATGATTATTTCTGAGAACTTTTTGACTGCAGGCAGACATACATTATGGTACAAATTGCTCTAGAAAAATGCAATGAACTACAAGGCTGTAGAGAACAGTGCACTATTGCAGACTTATATACTGAGGTTTTAATTCCATTATTTAAATATAGTCAGTCGTGAACTAAAGTGGGCCGGTCTAAGGCATGAAACTCCAGAGCTGAAAATGAGTCCCACTCCGGCCCTGTGTGTGTGTAAACATACTTGGTGATAACTACAATGAAGCAGGCCATAGCCAGAGACCCAGATTCTTTTCGGGGTCAAGAGGAGGCAAAGAAATGGGCTAACTCATAGAGGTCGAGCCCGGCCTTACATAATCGTTCTTAGAGCTTTGCACAGCCTCGGAACTAGATAGGGTCAAGAGTGTGCCGGAAGCTAAGCCCAGGCGTGGGAACTTCAGCGGGTTCGAAACATAGTCAAATCCAGCAAGGATTAAATCCAGACTTAGGGCAGGGGTATGGTTCCTGGAGCGTTTTGAGCTCAGAGAGACAGTTAAGCAGAAAGGACCTGAGCCTGCAATGCAGGGACGTCCAGGTTGTAGAACCTGACTAAGGTGGACGGTGAGGAGCAGCCGGCCGCCGCACAAATTTCTGCAATGGACACACCACTGGACCATGCCCAGGATGAGGCCATGCCTCTCGTGGAATGTGCTCTGACCCCGATGGGGCATTGAAGGCCCAAGGAAGAGTATGCAAGGGCTATTGCGTCGACTATCCAACGGGATAGTCTTTGCTTTGTGACCGGAAGCCCCTTGGTGCGGCCACCAAAGCATACAAAGAGCTGACTGCCTAAAGGAGGCGGAGCGGTCAGTGTAGATTTTTAACGCCTGGGCTCACAGAGAGCGCCTGTAAATCTCCAACTCGCTTAACCGATGCCAAAGCCAATAGCAGAGCGGTCTTTAGCGACGGGTCGAATATCAGCGGATTGCAGCGGTTCAAAGTGGGGGCTTTTGAGCGCCCTCAGAACCGTAGACAGATCCCACGTAGTGACCGTAGAAGGACGAGGGGGGTTCAACCTCCTAGACCCTTTCAAAAATCGAACAACGAGGTTGTTCCTGCCGACCGATATCCCGTCTATAGGAGCATGAAAAGCTGCTATAGCCGCCACATAGACCTTAAGAGTGGAGGGGGTGCGACCCTTATCCAACAGCTCTTGAAGGAAGGACAATATTGAAGATATGTCACATGTGGATGGATCTTCACCGCGGTTTGTACACCAAGCGGTGAAGACCGACCATTTGAGGGCATAGAGGCGCCTTGTGGACAGGGTTCTACCCTGAGAAATGGTATTTAAGACACCCTCTGGGAGGTTCATAGGCTCCCATCGAGAGGCCATAAGTGTAGGGCCCACAACTTGGGTTGGGGGTGCCATATCGTCATGTTCGCCTGAAAGAGGAGGTCCCGTCTCTGGAGAATGGGCCATGGAGCTGCCGTGAGCAGCTGAGACATCTCTGAGAACCATAGTTGGTTTCTCCAGAGCGGGGCCACTAGAAGAACCTTGTGCCTTTGTTCCCTGATTCGCCTGATGACCTGAGGGAGCAGGGCGATCGGGGGAAAAGCGTAAAGGAGAAGGCTGGGCCAATCGTGGGCCAGCGCATCCCTTTCCTTCGAAAAATAGATTGGGCAGTGAGAGTTGTCTTCTGAGGCGAAGAGGTCGACCTCTGCCTTCCCGAAGATCACCCATATTTTCCAAACCGTCTGGGGGTGAAGCATCCACTCACCAGAGGGGACGTTGCTCCGAGACAGCATGTCTGCTCCCTGGATCAGTTTGCCGGGTATGTGCGCTGCTCATTTCCAGGCAGTTGATGTGCAGCTTTGTCTCTTCGCTCGACCACACGCCAAAGGCTGGTCTGCCGTCGCACAGGGATCCCCAGCCCGTGTTTTACGCATCTGTGAAGATGACCTTCCTTTTGTGCATCATCCCCAGGGGTACGCCCTGGTTGAACCACAAAGGGTCCTTCCAAGGGGCAAGGGCTGCGATGCAGGCTTGCTCCACCTTGATATGAAGGTGTCCGTGACGTCAAGCTCGGGATGGAACCAGGGGTTTCAGCCAGTGTTGAAGAGGCCGCATGCGAAGGAGGCCTAACTGCAGTACTGGCGATGCAGAGGTCATAAGGCCCAGCATTCCTCTGAAACACTCTGAGAGGAAGGGACGCCAATCGTGAAGGCGGTCGCCAGCCGCTGTATAGCCAGGACATGTTCCGGCGAGGATACAGCTCTCATTTGGGTTGAGTCGAAGAAGGACCCCAGAGCCTCAGAGACAGCCCGAATGGCAGGACCGTATATTGATATGCCACTCCCTCGAAGGCGAATCTCAAGAAGCGCCTGTGACGGGGGGCTATCTGAATGGGAAAGTAAGCGTCTTTCAGATCCAGAGAGAAGAACTAGTCCCCTGGGCAAATTAGCGAGAGTATCTGTTTCAAAATGGTCATTCTCGGTTCAAAATCCTGAGATCGAGGATGGGCCTGAGGCCGCCATCCTTTTTGGGGACGAGAAAGTAGCGGCTGTAAAAGCCTGATTCACTCTGAGCTGGCAGGACGATTTCTATGGCCCGTTTCGCCAGCAGCACAGCCACCTCGGAACGAAGAACGTGAGCGTTCGTGTTCCCTACTAAGGTGGGGATCACACCGCAGAAGCGCGGGGGTTCTTGAGCTAATTGGAGTAGATAACCTCGTTTTATAATCCCCATAACCCACTTTGACATGTCGGGGATGGCCTGCCAGGCCTTGGCCCTTGTGGCAAGGGGTTGAATTGGTTTAGGCGGCAGGTCGCTGTGAAGGCTCACCGTGTTTGGAAGAGGAAATTTGCTCTCTTTTTAAGTATGTTTGTGTTTTATTTTGTCCGCTTGGGGGGTTTGGGGGGTGGTCCGGCCACAGCGAGACTTTGCCCCTTCCTCTTCCTTCCTGAGGGATCAGGATGGCTTCTGAGGAGCAGGGTCCAGCACAACCTTGGACCGGGGGTTGTGCTGGACCCCCGGCTGGGTTGTCCTGGGTTGTGCTGGCAGTTTGGGGGGTGGTCCGGCCACAGCGAGACTTTGCCCCTTCCTCTTCCTTCCTGAGGGATCAGGATGGCTTCTGAGGAGCAGGGTCCAGCACAACCTTGGGCCGGGGTCCCTGGCGCTTCGGAAAAGGGTAGCGTTTTGCACTTGGGGCGACTGGCAGCAGCTGCAGAACTGGAACGTTTCGGCAGGAAGTGTCGCATGGCTTTGGACGACTTCTGTGCAGCCATGAAACGCTCGGCGAACCCTTCCACAGCAGGTCCTAAAAGGCCAGTGGGGGTGACCGGGGAGTCAAGGAAGATGGTTTTATCCGCTTCTTTGATCTCTGTCAAATTCAGCCACAAGTGGCGTTCCAGCACCACCAGGCTGGCCATCGACCTCCCAATGGCCTGTGCAGTCGTCTTTGTGGCGCGCAGGGCCAAATCGGTGGCGCTGCGCAGCGCTGTGAACGCTGCAGAGTGTTCTGGCCCAGACTCATCCATGGCGCGAAGGAGCTTCGCCTGGTACACTTGGAGCACCACCATAGAGTGTAACGCAGACGCAGCCTGGCCCGCCGAGGTGTAAGCACAACCAGCAAGGGCTGAAGTCGTTCGGCAGGGCTTCGAGGGTTGAGCGGCCTTTGCCTTCCATCCGATGGCAGCGGGGGGGGCAGAAGTGTGCAGCCACCGCTTCGTCCAGAGGAGGCAGCTTATCGTAGCCCTTATGTGCAGCGCCGTTGACCGTAGTGAGGGCGGGAGAGACAGAGGAGCGTAAACGAGCTGAGTAAGGGGCACGCCACAACTTCGTCAGCTCGTCGTGAACCTCTGGGAAGAAGGGTGCAGCTCGCTGAGGAGGGGTCTGGCGGCGTCCCGGCAGAAACCACACGTCTAGGCGGCTGCGAGTGGGTTCTTCAGGCGAAGACCACTCCAATCCGAGCTCCTCGACGGCTTTTGATAGGACACGGATGAGCTCGGTGTCCGTACCAACCCTGGCGTCGATCGGCTCCGCAGATGGCAAGGGGGCGGGGTCAGCAATGGAGCCCGACCAATCCTCAGCATCCGAGGCCGCTAGGGACATACTGTCATCAAGCGGCTCATCATCCGATCCCCCAAACGAGACCAGGTCACTAGCGATGGCATAGGGGCACTGGTGTGGATGGGAGAACGAGACGGGGGAAACCTCTCTTTGTGGAGAGAGTGAGGTACGCATGCATTCACTGTGCCCGTCATCAGCGCTAATCAGTGCTGCTTGAGAGCGGCGAGCTGTGGGCGGCGAGCTGCAAGCGGTGAGCAGAGAGCAGAGGCGGCGAGCTGATCTTGCTGCTGCAGAACGGCGGCTGGATCAGCTTGCAGGCGAAGGCTTCAAATCTCGTAGAATCAGCGAAGAGCAGTAGATGTCGTCGCTGAAGGAGAAAGAATCAGTGATCCTATGCCGAGCACCTTCTTATATACACCTGATGTTGTTTGCCGCTGTGTCGTCTTCTATTCCTTGAGAAGATTCGACTCTCTGCTGAAATGCTGTCAAGAATCCAGAAGGGCACCACTTGATTTCTGTCCACTGACCCCAGCTGAAGAAAAAACACGAGTTTACTACTGAAAATTAAAGAAAATTGATTTGTCTACTGTAGCTTATGAAGAAGCTGTTCCTAACCCTTAATGTAGGAATTCATAATAACCCCTATAACCTGCTATAACTAGTAGGGTGAAGTCCGCTAAAATGGGCTATCAGGTAAAATGGGCCAAATAAGGTTGTAGCGTCATATCTCTTCAAATGTTTATAATCAGTCACAATAACTGATCTTGCATTGTTGCTTCAACACTTGTTGACATGTAACAATAATTTTGATTGGTCTGAGTTTCTTAAGGCAGGCAGGGCAGAGTGTTACATTAAGCTTGTCAGAGAAATTGTAAGGTAAGTGAGCCTGACATAGTAAATTTCATTCATCACCAATAAGGGTACTAAAGCAATTATACATATGCTTACCAACAAAGCAAACGTTTATGAACAATGTTTTGACATGCTTTTTCAAATAAAAAAAGTTTAATTAAAAAAAAAACTTCGGTTTTTATGAAAAACTTCATTTTAGGTAGAAATGGCTGGTTAAGCTAAAATGGGCCACAATTTCAGCTAAAATGGGCTGCATAGATATGTATGCATACAAAATCTAGTCTTAAAAAAAAAAACACACACACACACAAACTACCAGTCAAAAGGTTTTGAACAGTGAGATTTTAAATTGTTTAAATGTTGAAATATTTTTACTATTTAAAATAACTGTTTTCTATTTGAATATATTTTCAAATGTAATTTATTCCTGTGATCAAAGCTGCATTTTCAGCATCATTACTCTAGTCACATGATTCTTCAGAAATCATTCTAATATTCTGAGTTGCTGTTCAAGAAACTTTTTTCAGGATTCTCTGATGAATAGAAAGATCCAAAGATCAGCATTTATCTGAAATAAAAAGCTTTTGTAACATTATACAATATACCATTCAAAAGCTTGGAGTCGATATTAAATAGTAAAAATATTTCAAAATGTTACTGTTTTTGCTGCACTTTGAATCAAATAAATGCAGGCTTGGTGAGCAGAAGAGACTTATTTAAAAAACCATTAAAAATCTTGCTGTTCAAAAACTTTTGACTGGTAGTGTACATGCACACAAAAGACACCAATGCACAGAAACACACATCTATACAACATGATCAGTTCATTTTTAATTGCATTGTTTAATGAAATATTCAGTCAACTTTCAGTCAATTTAATGAAATGCATATGGTGCTGTTGCTATGGCACACTAAAGACAATAGTGTCAATTTACTGTTAAAAATAAAATGATTTCAGCCGAAATTACCTGTGTTGTTCTCTTTTTATATTGGCCCATTTACCTGAATGTTGTGCCGTTGCTCAAGAAGGTACCTGCTGATACTCTAACTCTCATCATTTTAAAACAATTATACTTTTTGACATTTAAAAAATATAAACATATTTAAGAGACCCATGCTAATTTATAACAATATCATTAGATCTCATGCATAGTTTATTTGATGGTATAATAAGTCATTTACCAAAACGTCGCTAATTTTTAGCTGACTTCACCCTGTTACTACTCTGTAGACTGAGCCCATTACCTTCCTACTTCTGACTGAACTGAGGCGTAGTTTTCATATGAGCTTGAAAAGCCTTTGGACGGATCAATGCAGTGAAGGCGAATTCCATTGAGTGCATTGTTATCATCCCAAAAGCCATAGGAAAGTTCTTCCACCTTGAAAAAACAACACAACACTCCTAAATTTGAAAGAGCTACAATCAATCATTGAAAAGTTAACTGTAACCATCCCATAGTAACATTCATCTTCCTGTCCTGTAGTATTAAGCATGTGCAGTTCCCTGGAGATACCTGGAATTAAATGCCTAACAAGTAATGATCAGTCACCAGCTCACGTTTAACCACTAAGCCCCCCCATATTACTGTAATGGATTCAATGCCGGACTTACCTTTAGACTGAACCCTGCAGCGTACGTTCCATTTGGACAGATGTCCTTAAACCCCCATGATCCCCAGTTTTTACTATTTAAAATTGCTTTCTATTTGAATAGATTTTAAAATGTAATTTATTCCTGTGATCATACATAGGTAAATTTTCAGCATCATTACTCCAGTCACATGATTCTTCAGAAATCATTCTAATATTCTGAGTTGCTGTTCAAGAAACTTTTTTCAGGATTCTCTGATGAATAGAAAGATCCAAAGATCAGCATTTATCTGAAATAAAAAGCTTTTGTAACATTATACAATATACCATTCAAAAGCTTGGAGTCGATATTAAATAGTAAAAATATTTCAAAATGTTACTGTTTTTGCTGCACTTTGAATCAAATAAATGCAGGCTTGGTGAGCAGAAGAGACTTATTTAAAAAACCATTAAAAATCTTGCTGTTCAAAAACTTTTGACTGGTAGTGTACATGCACACAAAAGACACCAATGCACAGAAACACACATCTATACAACATGATCAGTTCATTTTTAATTGCATTGTTTAATGAAATATTCAGTCAACTTTCAGTCAATTTAATGAAATGCATATGGTGCTGTTGCTATGGCACACTAAAGACAATAGTGTCAATTTACTGTTAAAAATAAAATGATTTCAGCCGAAATTACCTGTGTTGTTCTCTTTTTATATTGGCCCATTTACCTGAATGTTGTGCCGTTGCTCAAGAAGGTACCTGCTGATACTCTAACTCTCATCATTTTAAAACAATTATACTTTTTGACATTTAAAAAATATAAACATATTTAAGAGACCCATGCTAATTTATAACAATATCATTAGATCTCATGCATAGTTTATTTGATGGTATAATAAGTCATTTACCAAAACGTCGCTAATTTTTAGCTGACTTCACCCTGTTACTACTCTGTAGACTGAGCCCATTACCTTCCTACTTCTGACTGAACTGAGGCGTAGTTTTCATATGAGCTTGAAAAGCCTTTGGACGGATCAATGCAGTGAAGGCGAATTCCATTGAGTGCATTGTTATCATCCCAAAAGCCATAGGAAAGTTCTTCCACCTTGAAAAAACAACACAACACTCCTAAATTTGAAAGAGCTACAATCAATCATTGAAAAGTTAACTGTAACCATCCCATAGTAACATTCATCTTCCTGTCCTGTAGTATTAAGCATGTGCAGTTCCCTGGAGATACCTGGAATTAAATGCCTAACAAGTAATGATCAGTCACCAGCTCACGTTTAACCACTAAGCCCCCCCATATTACTGTAATGGATTCAATGCCGGACTTACCTTTAGACTGAACCCTGCAGCGTACGTTCCATTTGGACAGATGTCCTTAAACCCCCATGATCCCCAGTTCGTTCCATAGTACACATTCAGCCACCATCTGTTTTTTCTGTTGATGTCTGGATCAGAATCCATTATGAATGTCTGAATGCTCACATGCAGCCCAAGAATGATTAACAGTAAAGAAATTAAGAGATGCATTGCTGCAGCAAAAGCCTGATCGATAAAAAATACTGATTCAATTAATTCTGTTTGATTTCTACACCAAAAACGGATCCAGGGTCAGTAAAACTGCTCAAAGGAACAATAGTTTCTTCAAATCCAGAACAGAAAACCTGAGCCAACTGCAGTCTGTCCGCAGAATATGCCTGATTCCCTTTCATGGGAACTTCGAACTGCGTCCTCTAGGGGTCGCTATGGGGGAACGCCTCGTCGTGACCCGTGTCTGAAGCATACATTGAAAAAACACCAACTCGTTGGCCGGCGACAGCCATGACGTCACTACCGGTGCGACTATAGTATAAATAGGCGCCGGGAGCACACATCATTCTCTTCTTCGTCTTCATTGACTGTTCTGTTTGAAGCGTGCATTTCCAAGGAAAAAGTAAGAGCTATCTCTATTCATTATGGCAAGCACTAGCAGAGAGTTTAGAAGGTGTGTGCATCCATGTCATCGCTATTTGACACCCAATGACACACACACGATCTATGCGTTGTTTGTTTGGGCGAAGAGCACGCACGCGATGTCCTCGAGGGGGCAATCTGCGTGCACTGCGAGCGTTTTCCGATGAGGTTTCTTGCCATGCTGCGGACGCAAGCTTCAGACGAAGAAGTGAATGATGTGTAGCTCCCGTCGCCTATTTATACTATAGTCGCACCGGTAGTGACGTCATGGCTGTCGCCGGCCAACGAGTTGGTGTTTTTTCAATGTATGCTTCAGACACGGGTCACGACGAGGCGTTCCCCCATAGCGACACCTAGAGGACGCAGTGTCTCGTTCCCTACTCAGGGAACCATGGTTACATAAGTAACCTGAGACGTTTTTCAGAATACATTTATATGGTTTATCAATATTGTGGTTTCCTGGTTCTAGCCAATCAGCAGCCAGTAGCGCCGAGTGCACATCAATGACCTGCATGTGACTGAAAACACAAAAATACAAACACTGATCCAGCAAAATATCTGTATGCTTAACAGTTAATGTCCCTGAAAACTGTTTTTCTTGGTAAAATGCCTATACAATGTTGAGTTGCCTGTTTGATTTTGTATTTTTGATGAGTGAAATATTAAGCATGCACTGCAACAGAGAATATAAGACCTTAAATTAAATGGCAAATATTTGTTTACAGGTTTACTATTTCCTCAAGTGAATAAGAATGATTGCAAGGAAGCAAGTGTTAAAGGAAGTGATCAGCTAAAAATTATCATTCTGTCATCATTTAATCTCCCTCATGTGGTCCAAACCCTTATGACTGTCTTTCTTCTGGAGAATTTAAGTATCATAAAAGTATGTTCATACACACTGTAAAATCTAATTAGGTAATCTTACTTTAAAATGCATGCAAATCGATTGGCTTAAAAAACAATGTCAAGTAAAAAACTTTTTAGTTTCAACAACTAATTCATTTTAAGTTAAATATACTAGGTGTGTAGTCCAAACAACTTATTTAAGTTGCACTAACTAATGTAACATTTACTGTAACTTGGAATTTCTCAATTGTATTTATTTGAGCCGCAATCTGATTTACTTGTTCAAATTAGAGATGCACTGATTGCAATTTTCTTGGCCGATTACAGTTTCTGATTTTTTTTGTAAGTGTGTCCTGCTGATATCGATTTTTGCAGATTCTGATTTTCTTTTTAAGAACTATAATTGACAGCATATACAAACAAAAATCTACTTTTTTCAAAGCAAAATTCCCCCAATGTGGACTAATTAACACTTGAACAACTCTCAAAAGAAAGTGCTCAGTGACTGGAAAGAAGTAGAAATGAGTTGCTGTAGGTCAAGGTCAAGGTCAGTTTATTTCTATAGCACATTTAAAAACAGCTAGTATACCAAAGTGCTGTACATTTGCCAATAAAGTAAATATAGAGATCTGTAACAAGACAGATGTCATTTCCCACTATGTTTATAAATTTTTTTCCCTAACCTTATTGAATTTGTCATCTTTCACATCAAATTCTTACATTGTTTCAATTAATTCAGTTAGAATAATATGAAACTGTAGAGTTGTTACCATTCAAATGAAATCAGTATCAACAAACTCCATCTTTCCACTGCAGGAAACACAGAAGCTGTATCCGAAGTGGCATTAGATGTATTTACACAGACTGTTTGATGAAGCAGAGGTGCCATTAATGCATTTACACTGCAAAATTTCAAATGCATAACTAATTTTAAATATTTTTTTGAACATACAAATAAGAAAATGGAGGGAAAAATGCAATACTTTTAAATATGAAAACAAACCACCAGTAGGTGGCGGCAAAATAACTGTTTTAATGAGTGAGTCATTTCGTCATTCATTCATTCAACCAATTTGTTCAAATGACTGACTCATTCACAAACGAGGCAAGTGACACTGTCTTTATGAATGGGTTACTGAATCATTGACTCACTCGATTCATTCAAAAACATCGATTCATTCAGTAACGAAACACCGCTGTGTTGCTCGGAGACACACAACAGTTCCCTTTCAGTCAGTCACTCTCGACGCCATTGGGAGTGAACAATTGGGATCTCGCTTAGAGAGACCAATCTACTTCGAGCGTAAACTAACCGAGCCAATGGTCATTGGCATGCAATGATTGCATCCAGCTGCCGCTGATCACAGCGTGAGCATAAAAAGGCAGCAGGTGCAACGCATACCAGCTTTTCACTTCGGAGCCGAGCGATAACATCGTTTTGCCGTGTCGAGTGGGTTGCACACATCAGGCTGCACTACCCTCTGTTTGTGTTGCAGGTGGCCATCTCCCCTGTGTGCTTCAGCACGCTAAGAGTTTTTTTTCCCCTAAAAGAGCATTCATGGGTGCGTCTTTTTAAAGACGACATTGCGTCTGGCAAACTCAACGTTACGTCTTTGTAAAGATGATGTGGGTCTTGCTATAGACAACGTATCACCCGTGCGTTTCTGGATTGGGGTCGTTACCTGGTGCTGGGTGATGGCCATGATTGCTGCCTCACGTGCCTGGGCATTTAGGCATACCTCAAAGGGGCGGAGCTCCATTGCCTCTGCCTCAATCTAGTTCTCGTCATGGTGGCAGTCAGGTGGGGGCTACTTCAGGCAGTAGCACGGGCGGTCTGAGGGTAAAAGTGATGGCAAACCCTCCAGGGAACCAACCCTCGGGGGACCATCGCTCCTCTAACACCTTTTCATAAGCATATAGAAAGTGTGATGGGTAATGATCTTGGTGAATTCTTTAATTCTATGTTTCAGTTTTTAGGTGCTTTATTGGCATGGAAAATATTTTGTACATTTGTCTTGCCAAAGCATTCCAGCATTGGCGCATACAATCAGAAACAGTGATTTCTTAGCTATCAACATTTAGCCTATAGATCAAGCAGAACTGTTTAGGGGTTTGACATGAACACGTGTTTGGATGTCTTCCAACACCCCAAACAAAGCACATTCCCATTAACAAACATATTAAAACGTTATATCGGACACCGACTACATCACGGTAGGAAACAGATAGAAGTTTTGGGCTCTGGTGTCTAGATACCAATCCACCAAAGGTGTTGACCTAAAACACAAACATGGAAGCCAGACGCCCAGACAACCTCCTTGCTTAGGGGGTAGATGTAGACGGGCTGATAGGGACAAATTGGTGTCTAGCATTAACATATACCGTATAGATCAAACAAACATTGATCCTTGAGGTTGAGGTGACAATACACACGCTTTGCTCAGCCATTTTTCCACAATCAGGAAGAACCCAAACATCTCCAGACTGGAAGTGAAAAACTGGTCAGGAAGGAACTTCGCCATAAAAAACCCATGGCACAGGTGAGAACATCATAAATCCAGTCATAAATACATCAAAAGTCAGATCTTACATCTGTTTGATCTTTTTGATTTACACACCCTACTGTCATGTCAGTCAGGGGTGACAGGACCCCGGTGACATGGCAGTCAGGGTGACAGAGGGGTCATATAGCCATAAATCAGCTCAAAAATCTGACCATGTACACATTTGACATATCAGAATCAGAAAGAGCTTTATTGCAAAGTATGCTTGCGCATACAAGGAATTTGTTTTGGTGACATAAGTTTCCAGTACACAGACAACAACAACACACAGACAAAAATAAGATGAGAAAAAAAAATACACAAATGTAAATATAAATAGACAAAAATTGAAAAAATAAATTGAAAAATAAATAAATTGTATGAAGTTGTGCACACACCCTACTGTCATGTCAGTCAGGGGTGACAGGACCCCGGTGACATGGCAGTCAGGGTGACAGAGGGGTCATATAGCCATAAATCAGCTCATAAATCTGACCATGTACACATTTGACATATCAGAATCAGAAAGAGCTTTATTGCCAAGTATGCTTGCGCATACAAGGAATTTGTTTTGGTGACATAAGCTTCCAGTACACAGACAACAACAACACACAGACAAAAATAAGATGAGAAAAAAAAATACACAAATGTAAATATAAATAGACAAAAATTGAAAAAATAAATTGAAAAATAAATAAATTGTATGAAGTTGTGCTATAGATGATAGAATGGAGTAGAATGGAATGAGATGCAGGGATGTACTGAGGTGGTAACAAATAAATATAAGGTTATTGCTCATTTTGATTGCATACTGTGGGGAACATTTAACTGTTCATAAGGTAGATTGCCTGGGGGAAGAAACTGTTCTTGTGCCTGGCTGTCCTGGTATTTGGGGCTCTGTAGCACCGGCCAGATGGCAAAAGTTCAAAAAGGGGATAACTTGAATGTGAGGGATCCAGAGTGATTTTCTGAGTCCTTTTCCTCACTCTGGATGTATACAGTTCTTGGAGGGTAGGCAGGGGGGCACCAATAATCCTTTCAGCAGTCCGAACTGTTCTCTGTAGTCTTCTGATGTCTGATTTTGTAGCTGAACCAAACCAGACAGTTATTGATGTGCACAGAAGAGACTCAATGACAGCTGAGTAGAACTGTTTCAGCAGCTCCTGTGGCAGGTTAAACTTCCTCAGCTGGCGAAGGAAGTACAACCTTTGTTGGGCCTTTTTTACAATGGAGTCGATGTGAGTGACACACTTCAGGTCCTGAGAGATGATGGATCCCAGGAACTTGAATGTCTCCACTGCAGTCACAGTGCTGTTCATGATGGTGAGTGGGGAGAGTGCAGGGGGGTTTGTCCTGAAGTCCACGATCATCTCCACTGTTTTGAGCATGTTCAGCTCCAGGTTGTTAAGACTGCACCAGACAGCCAGCTCTTTAACCTCCTGTCTGTAAGCAGACTCGTCTCCATCCTTGATGAGACCGATGACTGTAGTGTCATCTGCAAACTTCAGGAGCTTGACAGAGGGGTCTTTAGAGGTGCAGTCGTTGGTGTTTGGTCTGGAGGAGTGTTGGAATGATGGTGTTGAAGGCCGAACTAAAGTCCACAAACAGGATCCTCACATAAGTCCCTGGTTTGTCCAGATGCTGCAGGATGAAGTGCAGTCCCATGTTGACTGCATCATCCACGGACCTGTTTGCTCGGTAGGCAAACTGCAGGGGGTCCAGTAAGGGTCCAGTGTTGTCCTTCAGATAAGCCAGAACCAGTTTTTCAAATGACTTCATGACAACAGTCGTTAGTGCCACAGGTCTGTAGTCGTTAAGTCCTGTTATCTTGGGTTTCTTTGGAACGGGGATGATGGTGGAACATTTTAAGCTGGCAGGAACTTCACACAGCTCCAGAGATCTATTGAAGATCTGTGAAAAAATGGTGGCCAGCTGGTCAGCACAGGTTTTCAGACAGGCTGGTGTCACCCCGTCTGGGCCTGGTGCCTTTCTTCTTTTGTTCTTTCTGAAAACCTGGTCTCCTCATCTTCACTGATCTGAAGTGCTGGAGGGGAGGAGAGGGGGGTTGCAGGAGGTGTTAACGGTTGTGTAGAGAGATGGTCAGAACGGGTGTGGGGGGGTTTCAAATCTACAATAAAACTCATTCAGGTCTTCAGCAAGTTGTAGATTCGCCTCAGTGCTGGGGGATGGTGTCTTGTAGTAGGTGATGGCTATCAGGCCTTTCCACACTGAAGCTGAGTCGTTGGAAGTGAACTGATCTTCTAACTAACTAACTGATTTTCTAACTTCTGCAGCCAGATTAAACCTTGTTGTAGCCTATACTGTGTATTATGCTCTGTTCATGCTCTATTTTTTAGAAACCTTGCACTTTTCTACTCCGTTTTAAATGGTGTCCTTGTATTCAAATTAAGCACAGTCCACGGTTCTTGTATTCAAATTAAGCGCAGTCCACTGCTGCACAGGGACAGCTGTATCGATATTCGTATTGTCAAATCTCTGTGACGATATATTGTCGTATCGATGTATCGAACACAGCACTAGTGTTTACAATAAGACGATATATGATATCAAACACCACTGCTTCTTTTCGGTTTCATTTAAACATATTAAAAAGTTCTCCGAAATAATCATTTGTTTTGCTTAACCTATTTATGTACAATCATTTTAAAAATAATTTAATGTCATACAAAAAAAGTCATTGGCCTGAGTAAATTGTAGCCTACCATTATAGAATTGTGACAGCACAAGTCATTTAGGAGGTGAAGATTCTGTGAAGTGACATACAAATGGCATGAAACTCGAATGCATAACAACTGAAGGTCTATGAAACGTCAGGTTTTTTTAAACAATGGCACTTTAATTTTTTAACTCAAATTTGAGTGCAACCATATAGCCTATGAAGCGGCAGCTGCCGGCAGAGAATTTCGCTTGCTCTTAAAGCCTTCCTAAAACATCTGCATTCACAAATAAAACAATAATATTTGCAAAGAGAATTATTAATTATCAATTTGTTATTCATATGGTCTGGTGGTCATACGGCATATGCCTGCGAATATACGGGACAAACTGTGTTCCATATAGCTTTCGTACAGGACGCTTCTTTGATGCCTTAAATTCGGGACAATTCTATATTATACGGAACGGTTGCAACCCCATCGCAGGCTGCACTCTGTGAATTGTAATTCACGAATTCGCACTAACATATAATTGGATTGAGCAATAAGTAAGCATATTTGTCGTATACTGTCCAGAGGGAGGGCTCCGAGCTATCCCTAAAATGGGATGAGAAATAGAATAAGAGTGAGGAGGAGTTGGGGTGGAGGAGGGATGCTGGAAAACTGTCGTGGGACAGAGGTAAGTTGGCTGTATATACACGTATTGTGCTAGTTAAGGTGATTAACTATTGAGCTCCACCTGTGCCAAATTGATTGATTATCTGATTGTGCTCCTCCCGAACCTTGTTAATGAAACTGGCTGCTGATTGGCTAGAACCAGATATCACAATATTGATAAACCGTATAAATGCATTCTGAAGCAGCTGTGAAAGAATCAGATCCTGTTGACAGACCACAGACAGTTCAGAAGGGTTTCTTGTTCTGGATTTGAAGAAACTGTTCCTTTGAGTAGTTTTGATTTACAAACCAAATCTACTTTATCAGTATTTTAATCCATCAGGCCAGTGCTGCAGCAATGCATCAGTTCATTTCCATGATGTTTTCACTGCTAGTCATTATTGGACTGCAGGTGAGTGTTGAGTCCACAGGAACACGTTCTGAGCGACGCATCGACAGACGTTACAGATCAGAGCTGGCTGTGCCGAATGGAGGGAGATGGGGGTCGTGGGGTCGGAGGGAAATGTGTCCAACTGGAACATATGCTGCAGGGTTCAGTCTAAAGGTAAGCTAAAAATTTAATTAATTCCAGACGTATGGGGGTTGTTTAATGCTTGAAAGTGAAGTTGGTGACTGAGTGTCATTCAATTAGTAATTCAATTCCAGATTTTTCTAAGGAAACTGCACCTGCTCAAGTTTGACTGTTTTGCTTAATACTAAAGAAACATGAAGTTGAATGGTTTTTATGGATTGGGTTAGTCCAGGGATTCCCAGCTCCGTTCCTGAAGATACACCAACAGTGAACGTGTTCGATTCAATTGATCGTATCTTTAGTAGACCTCCAAAATATGTGATGTTTGTGTACCTCCAGGAACACTGGAGGTTTGGAGTAAAGAGTACTCCTTTTCTCTTTCTAATATGTTTTGGGGTGTTTTGTTGTAACATGGAAGATCCTATTCAAGGGGATGACACTGCACTCAATGGGATTAGTCTTCACTGCGTTGAGTCCAAAGGCTCCTCAAACTCGTATCACGACTACGCCTCAGTTCAGTCAGATGTAGGCAGGTAATGGGTTCAGTCTAAAGAGCAATAATGTAGCAGGTTTGCAGTTATTAAGAATTGTTACATTAAGAGTCGGAGGCAGTGTTTTTTTTGTTTTTTGTTTTTTTCATAAGCTAGATGAATTTTCTTTAAAATATTGATTGGTTTTTATCAATTAAAACTTTTCTTCAGCTGGGGTCGGTGGACAGATATCAAATGGTGTCCTTCTGGATTCTTGACCGCTTTTCAGCTGAGAGTTGAATCTTCTCAAGGAGATGGTGACGACACGGCCGCAAACAACATCATGTGAGTTTGTGCTGTGCTAAAAGTCCTTGAAACGAATTTGGTGCTCTAAATGACCGGTCTTTTACAAATTGCTTGTAAGTCACTCATTCTTAACTATCATCACCAAATCTTACTGGAATTGATTGCAGGGCTCCAGACTGCGACTAAAAAGGTTGCGTTTGTGACTAAAAATATTAATTTGAGTATTTTTTCTGAGGTCGCCACTGACGACTATATAAATGTACGTTATGACTTTAAAAATGTGCATGTAATGCCTTTTCCCTGCTTGTTTTACGATCACATTTGATGTAATAAACTGAGATGATGCGCATCAGTTTTGGTGGATAAACGCCAGTGCTGACAGTGCACCTGCTAAAAGCAGCTCCGGTTGTGGCATTGATGGTACTGTGATAATACTGTATACCGTGATAAAAGCTTTAGCAATTATTGCAACATGAAAATCTGATGGCGTCACATGCCTAGCTCCCACTTTAAGTGAACCAGTTCCCAGGAAATCTACAGTACAAGATGGATTAAAATGCTGATAAACGCATGAAAAGATGAGACCAACGTGTATGACAAATGTTAGTGTTAAATTGTATAAAACTCCTTTTGTTCTGTGGCACCTAAAGTCAAATTACAAGTTCCAAGAGTTTTTGTTATTGATTGAAACGACACATTTTATCATGTTACACCCACACTTCCAGGTTCAAATGCAGTCGAGGGTCTTTACTGCAGGGTGACGGCACACACTGGGGCGATTGGGGCGACTGGAGTCAAACATGTGAAGGAGAAGGGATTTGTGGTATCAAGACACAGATAGAAGAGCCACAAGGACGAGGAGATGACACCGCTCTCAATGACGTGCTCATGTTCTGCTGCAATTAAGGTGATGTGAACACAATCAAACACTCGGATTACCGCTGTTTGGAAGATCTCAGTGATGTTAGTGCTGGCTTATCGGACTTTGGCTTTTCTTTCAGGTGTTCGAGGACTACAACAAGAACAGCAAGAAGATCAGACGGGATCATAATTGATCAGCATACTGTTATGAGCTCACATTAACCATGTCATACAACAGCTAGTCAAAAAATAAAGCCTGAGATGTGATCAGGACCTCAACACAAAGCAGAGACTGACAGTACATCATCTCACTTATTGTGTCTTATCCGTTCATGCATTCCAAATCCATGAACTCCATACTCTACATTAACTGTAAAGCTGTAAACCCGCTTTTTTTTTTCTGAGGGCATAATTATATCCTAACATCTATTAAAATTATTCATTTAACTTGAAGTGACCTTAGCGTTTGTCTGATTAATGTGCTTCGTTGACCTGATTGAAGTCATTTAACAATTGAATATCTTTGCCCTTTTATTTTTATTTCTTATGCCTGACTAATCACAAAATGAAGAAATGCTTTGTGAAGAACAGGCACATTTCCACCCTATTAAAAAATAAATATACTTGAATGTATTTGAAATACATTTTATTTCATGCAAGCATACTAATACGTTTTATGTACTTAATAAAATGCCCTGCAATTGTATTTAGTATTCTAAACTGGTGTACTTGAAGTCTGCTCAATTGTAACAACTAATTTTCTACTTCATGCACTTTAATTGTAAAAAAAAAAAAAAGTAGTGCTGTAATCCAACTAAAGATATACTGAAATATATTTGTGCTAAAGTGGAACTATTGTAAGTATACTTCAGGTACACTTTAAAGGGGTCATATGATGCGATTT